ACTCTTTCCTGGGATGGAAGCCAACTTTTTCCTGGGATGAAAGGCAATTAACTCAAATTAACTTGTCCAAGAAAAAGTGTTATCCCAGGTGCTTCACAGATACTTGGATTGAATTAAACACTGTGTTCATTTTCACAGAAAATGAACAATCGCTAGTTAACCAACGTTCTGTTTAGCATATCCAAGTAGTCTTTCCTGGAGGCTTTCATCATCTTTGAATTCTGTGAATTTGTAGTTAAACAACTCTTAAAGCCCATTAATGACGTGAAACAAGTGAAGTCTAAAAGCAGTACTGCCACTGGTTACACTTTTTTTGCGGGGGGGGGTGGGAAGAATTAGTGGCTGTGCTGAGAGTAAGGGAAAGCCATTGCTTTGTTCAAGAATCTGTTAGTCCAGAACTTCGTTTGTTCTCAAGAACACAAATTGTACAGTATCTCATACAATGATGATGTAAATGGTACCTTGACCCAGAAGGTAGAAAATGACTGAATGCTAAACAGCTGCCCACAATGTCTGTATGTAGCATTGTATGATGGCTCTGATACAAGATGTTAATGCATGAGAAAAACAAAACTCGAAACCATTGATGTTTTGGGAAAAATCTGTAAGTAGTATCAGCTTATTTTTATTTAAGACATTTTTTATGGTAGAGGAGAGAGAATGCTTTTTAGTCTTATTTTAAAAGTTACTAGCAGGAGTTAAGGCAACCAGGAGTTAAGAAAGCAGTAAACATACCAGTTACCTTCTGCTCAGGTACAATAGATATCCATATGTTTAGTCGAACTGTATACAGATCTTAAGAAAATTACTTTGAATAATAAATACTCTTGCACTCATACAATCCATTTGAAAATCTAAAGGAAGGACAAAAATAATAATAGTTTTTTTTTCCAAAAGCCAAAAAGAAAATGATTAAAGTTTCTTGTTAATTTTATATCACTGCACTAGTCCAAGCATGCCAAATTCTAACAGTTAATCACTTCAGTTTAAAATGGTGGTATGAGTATGGCAGTTGCCTATTATCCTCCTGGAAGCCTTTGGTCAGATTTAATAAGCAAATTGTTTTTAATTTTCACTGCAGGGTTCCTGACTTTGTGAGAGAGAAGCGTTTTGGCAACTGGTTGAAAGAAGCCCGTGACTGGGCTATATCCAGAAACCGATACTGGGGAACACCTATTCCTTTGTGGGTCAGCGATGATTTTGAAGAGGTATGTAAGGCCTGTTATGTTTGTCCAAGGGAGTTCAGAAATAAATGGCTCCAACCACAAGTGTGGGAAAGAGCGCTGCCAGAATGTATTATACAAGCAGTCCTGGGACTTATGATGCAATTGGTTCCTGAAAACCATGTTTTAAGTTGAAACGTTGCAAGTCGGGACCAATTTTTCCATAGGAACAGTGTTACAAATGGGGAATTGGTTCCTTTATGACGGTTGATACTGTGTGCAGCTGGTAAGTGGTGGAAGGGGGGAGGGAAGGGAAGGGAAGGGGCGTGGTGGAGGGCAGATCAATGCCCCCTGTGGTGAGGGGGTGCAGATCAACGCTCCCTGTGGGGAGGGGTGGGTGGCGGCTCCTGCTGCTGTGCACTGCTTGTCTGGCAGCTCGACCTAGTGGTTCCCACCACTGCTCCCGCCATTGGTCCAGGAGGGCTTGAGAGGGGGTGTGTGCCCCCAGATCTGCATGGGGTGGGGCGGGCAAGGCCAGGGCTGCACGGAGCTGCACTGCAGCCCCCCATAGCCCCCGCTCTGCTGCCTGCCCTGTCCAGATCTGGGAGCATACACCCCCTACCCCCCATACCCTCCCACTGCTCGCTCAGCTGGGACGGGCACAGGGTGGAGCCTCTGAGCTGCCTCTGGACAAGTGGCGCGCAGTGGCGGGGGGAGCGGCCCCCCCCCCCCC